GCCTACATGCCTGGGGAATTATGAAAATCCTCTCGTGTTTGTATGTGTATATAGGTTACATGTACTGCACGATCCTATGGAATTGGAATAGTCAATTATTTGGCGAGGAGGGATGAAGTTGAATGGCTTTGCGAGGTGAATGAGGTGCGAAGGAAATTTGAATTGGAAATTTTTTTCGGATAAATTGAACGGCTGTGAAATTTTTTCATACTCCGTTGGAAAATTAGTTGTTTGCGGAATTTGTTTTTTAATATCCGAGAAACTTTTGTAGTCCGTCTAGTATGGACGTTTGGTAAATTGTTTTTATAGCATTGTGTGCTTATATCGCTTAACCCTTTGAAATCCAAATTTTTTTTTTCTAATTCTCTTTTCAATAACTCCCTATTATTTTAAGAATTTTATTTGAAATGCACTTCGAAAGACATTTGCTTGATAGGAACCAATTTAAACAACTTGTTTTACTGATTATATTGAAAACAGCATTAAGGAGTCCAAAGGGTTAAATGCCTTCTCATTAGTATGCATCTGTATAGAAATTTTCGTGTGATTTTGGACTACATCTACGGTGAAGTTAGTAGATTTTGAATTACTATGTAAGACAAATAATCGAATTTAATAGGTACTATCATTAACCAAAATGTATTTCAAGTATGATGAAGAAAATTGAAGTACGAACATTGTGAAGCTTCTTTGAAAACGTTTATAGCTTCGAATAGAGCCTATTATTGAAATAACTTACATCGCGAAGATAACGTTTCAAATTTAATATTATTCGTAGATTTGATTTAATATTGTGCATCACGGTTGGAACATAGTTGGAATGATTCGATTAAAAGGGAGTGTCGGTTAGTTGCATTTAAAAGAGGGTAGCAAGCGAAGCTAAGAAATTGCTGAAACGAACAAGATAATTACGGCTTTTACAAATAACATTGCTCGAGCGTGAAATTCCGTAATAAATTGCGTGTACAAGACGCTTCGATAAGTGCAGTAACTAAATACTTCGAAGAATTTGATAAGGGAGTTATCTATTAAAAACAATGCTTTCTAACTTGAAGTACGTATATCGAAAATATGAATTTGTCCTGATTGAAAAAAATAAGTTTTCAGTCAAATGTAATTCCTACTATATTACGTATAGAAATTATTAGCACGCTTGCATTAACTACCCTAATCTAGCTAGCTCAAAAGAGAATATCATTATGGTTACTCGTAATATTGAAATTATGGTCAGGTTAATTTAACGAATGTCGAAAATCGCAGGATTTGCATTGAAATTGACGTTTTTCATTTTGTTAAAATCATTCGCAGTAATTACCGTATTTCCGTGCGTATTTTTCGCAATTTTTTGCCATTTTTAAACTAATCGAAAATCGAGGTGCAAAAATACACAAATTTTTCCACAGGTAGGGGTGTACCGGTGTATATTCTTACAGAGAACCTTGATTAACAGAATAAATCAAAAAACAGGATATTCAAATTTCTTTTCTCCTAAAAATATCTCATAAAAATAAGGCTGCGAAAAATACGCGCGGAAATACGGCATACATATTTTCTGTTAAATGATACCTACCGTTCGAACAACATTTCGCCCGAATTTATCATTTCAATTGCAGACAGAAACATTTCATTACATTTCGAATTACTTAATTCTGCGAGAAATTACAAAGCAAACGGGTAAATATCATTAGTAAAAGTACATTTAACCGGTGTAAATTCAAGTAGCAGCTATTTATCAGTGTTACTTCTCGATTCATTGCAAGGCCGCCTAATTAATAATTACCGTCGCACACCACGAATCAATTATGAATCAAGTGTTATCATATCAAGAAAGTAAATTTCGAGTAATTTCTTCGGCAATTTTTCAACGGCAAAACTGTGCATTGTAAAATCATAATAATAATAATTAATTCGCAACAATCGCTATAGTTCATTGGTTGGTCCCGGTGTTGTACGTTTACCATCGCGTAAAATTCATCGACGAGCAATTTCCTTCGGCAATTTCTCAGCGACAAAACCGTGCATTATAAAATCGTGATAATAATTAAATTCACAACAATTACGGTATATTTCATTATCTCCGGCGTTGACCATCGACACAAGCATTTCTAACCACGACCTTCCGTGCTCCTATTCCTTTTAATTATATCGAGTTAATTACACACCACGTGACTTGTGTATATATTTCTAATTATGACAGAAAACGTTTCAATGCTAATTACAGGTTCGTAGGAAAATGATTGCTGCGTCGACTAAAATTCACGAGCGGCACAGAGGAACACAGAGTGGCCGGTGGTCGTTGCTTTCGATTCGATCGAGTCGGCGGCGGCGCCTTTTGTTTCGTGTCGCTTTGCAATTTCAAGAATTATTTCACGCAACATCGCTCTACCACACGGGACGTCACGTCAAACTACGCAGGACGTGTAAAAACGCTACATGACTTGACAAATATTGCGTACTTATCGTGCGTCACAATGCACACGCGATATATATGTACACACACACATATCTACCCGAGCTTATATCTTTCTACGTGGTGTATAATCGGAATTAAAGTCAATGTCGCGAGAGCAATTGTGTCGCGCGGCTCGACGTCGTCGTTGCTTGTCCTTTCTCCTTTTTTTTTTTTCGTTTCGTTTAATGCCCATAAAAAGAATTTATCTTGGCCGCGGAGAAAAATGGAAAATCGATAGGCGGTCCTTTTAAACCGTTACTGAAAAATTGCTCGGAACGAAAATTGGATTATGGTCACCGGATTATTTCTGGTTCCTCTCTGGCAAGGGTTTTTTCTGGGCGACGTTCTAATCGCTGAATTGAATCGTTGATTTGTCGCTTTCCAACGAAATTGCAAAATACTAGAAGGAATTATTTCTTTTATGCAGGATGTTTCCGAACTCGTGGTACAATAAACAGGAGGGTGACTCTACATGCGAAAATAAGTGGAAAAAAAGAATAACATCTTTTTGTATCGGGTTCCGTTTCCGAGTAAACCACTGTTGAAGATTTACCGAGTACGCGTACACTTGATTATACTGTAGGCCAGCCTTTGTTACGTTTGGATTCGTAAACATCACCAATGTCGTGGCTTGTTATCATTTCTGTGTCAGACTTTCAGTCTTGGTCGTTCTGTCAATACGGCAACATACGGTAATCGAGAGTGTGCTGATATGATTCTCGCGTTGGATGCTTGTGCCGGTAACGCATCTATAGCAAATTCTTGACGAAGAAATCATTTTATTTCAACGTTCATCCCTTAGTATTACCTAATGTAATAAATCAGAACAGCAACACGATGAATTTTTCGTTTGAAACTTGACGTTAGAAGAGAATCGAAATGTGAAAATTCGACAGATGTGGATATACACGGTGGAACGTAATTTACGTTGACAACAGGAAGAAGAGGAGTGATTCTTCATGTAAGAATGAATAAAAAGAAAATTATTTCCATTAATGTTTACGTTGTTTGCTCACAGAGATTTGTCGACTGTCGATGCTTGCGAATAGTAACAGACCGACGGAAATAATCGCGAATAAAATGAAACGATACGTGAAAGACGTCGAAAATTGTCGAAGTTTGAACGTCGACTTTGCCGATTAAAAAGAGAAACTTCGTTCGATAAAATTTTACTCTAGATTTTCGATATACTCTAGGAAACATACAGTATTTCACACAGTGAACACCGGTTTTGATATTAACTTCCGTTACGTTCCTATATTTAGCATGCAAACAGATATAAATTCACTCGCTTCCCTGAAAACTTTTTAATAGACTGCCATTTTATCGCGTCTTACGTGAAACTTTTCTCTGTGTCGATGGTCCTCTAATATCCGATATTGACTAGACAATACATATTCCCGGCGAAATGATATCGGAATCCGCCCGTCCTCCGTCGCTATTACCTTCTAAATCACCCCGAAAATTACCCCCTTCTTCGAACGACAGCAGGCAAAAGAAGAAAAAAAAAAAAGAAATTACGTCGTTTCTTACTGATAATATTCTCCTCGTCGAGGGAACGTGACCGACCAGCACGATTCCTCTTTGAAACATTTCAAACTGCTCCTCAAGGAACAATCGATCCTTTGGGAGAGATACGGTGAGGGGTAGGAGGATGGTTGGAAAGAGGAAAACTACCCTCTGACTCAACACTATCGACGATCGCGGTTTCATATCCCTTTAAAAAAGTATCGATAATTCACGGATTATATTAATAATCTCAGTTTAAGCTTAATACTGTACTTCGTGCCGCATTATTGACGTCGATATTACGATCTAGGATTCAATATTTGACGATACAGTCGACTCAGCTGTTTAAACGGCGAACGATAGGGAATTTAATGATTGCTTCTCTGCTTATGAAATTATAGAATAATTTTATACTACTGGCTGTTCTATATCGTACTACTATATGCGCCACACGTTATCGTTCATAACTGTTTATTCACCTTTTTTTTTTTAAGAATTATTCCGGTTAGCAACGAGATTTCTTCGTTCGGAACTTTTAAATTTAACTTACAAGCGTTAGTATATCTGTACACTCCTGTTTATAAGTATTAAGACACTTATCGTCAAACAATCGTCACAAAAATGATCAAGATCTTGAAAATAACGATTCAGTGTGGAATATTGGGCTCGAAATACTCCTGCCGTGTGTACCTTTCGAAATATGCAAAAACTGGACATTTTGAAATGGAGAAACGACCCCATAATCGCAAAATACATCGACTACGCGTACCGTATGTAACAATGAAAGTCAAGGAACCTCCATCAGGAGTAAAAAATTGAGGTCGTCATTCGACACTTGCGTGTTCCGTTGAACAGAGGAACAGAGAAGCCGTGTTACCCTTGAATGGTGAGTAAAAAACAGAAAAGAAAAAAGAGGAAAATCGCGGAATTGCCGGGCGAGCAGATAGGATAATTGGCTTGGTATTCTGTTCACCGTACGTATATCGGCATAAAGGATCGTAAATCAACGACGATTGACCGTAAATAGTGGGATACTTACAATACACAACCATGGAGGCGCTCGCTGACTGCTCGTCCTCGAAAGTGGATATGACGCACTGGTACTCGCCGGTAAGATCGATGCCCGGCTTATTCAATTTTATAGCTCGGTACTTGGTGTACGGATCGTCACTGGCTTTGTACTTCAGGTCGACGTATTTCTTCATGGTATCCCCGGCTAAAGGCTCCGAGCCGTATATCCATTGGTAAGCCACTTCCTCCTTGTTGAAGAACCATTTCACGACTAATCCGTTGCTCTCCGTGTTCTCGAGATCATAGTCACAGTCCAGGATCACGTAATCGGTGTCGTCGGCCTTCACTGTCGGCGGTACGTTCACGCTTTTTATCACGAGCTGCCAGCATTCTGAAAAATCGTAAAAAGAGCACCGTTGAGAAGGAGAGAAAAAAGAAAGAAGAAAACGAGAAGCTGTCGGGGATCGATTCGCACGGGAGAGAATGGTGAGACAGGGGCCGAACCTTTTCTTTCCACCCTTTTCTTCGTCTACGCGACACAAGGAGAACCGCGTCGACTGGTATGCCATAGGTGGAAAAACCGGTGACGCGAGCCTGGCCTCCCCTTTCGCGACTGATTATCTACGAGAAGGGATGTGGCCACGGTTTCTGATTCGAAGGGGGGAGGGAGGGAGAGTTTTCTTTTTGCACTTGGGGACTGCGACACGGTTTGAATTAAACTATTCCCGGCGACGCGTGATGTAATATCATTGTGTTTTATGGAAGCTGAAATTATTCGAAGAATTCGTTCTCTCTTTTCGGAACAGCCGAAAGTTCGTAACTTGAAATTAAATTAATCCGAGGCGCTTTGAAAATTTCCCTCGCACTGTGTCCTTGGCGCCTATAGGCATTTTGAATATGTGCTCTGCCTCTGGCATGTTTCAGCACATTTTCACCGTAATTTTTGTCCTTTGCGCACTTCCGCGGTAATTCAACAAAAGGAACTTAAAAACGGTAAATTTCAAATTTCAATTGAAAAATTTAAAAAAAATTAAAAAACACCGAAACGAAAGATTTCGCATCTATGAACATCTATCGTATGCGACGTTCGTCACGTGCTCGAATCTGCCACTGCGAAAGGGTTAAGAAGTTGAATGAATTTTTAAGGGAAAAAATTTGTCACTTTCTAATTAGACGCAATATCGCCTTATCAACGTTAGAAATGAAAAATAATACTATGCCGGACAGCTACGGCTCAGCGGAATTAGGAAATTAACCAATTGTTTTGAGTTTTGGAGGATGGAATTGTAGATTCATCGTATTCTGTACATCCGTGCACACCGTTGATGTTTCAGCAGTTATTGTTCAAATGAATGCATGCACTGCGTTGGATGGGACGTGTTGCATAACAAATGACGTGAAACGGAAATTACTATTTAACTGCTACGAAGAACGTTATTGCGACAGTGTTGCGACGAGATGGTTGCGTAATTATTCATCGTAGACCAGCATTGCCTTGGGTACATCGCGACGAATTTCGTACAGACTGATACAATCCACTTTTCTATACGGGTCCGGACAAAGTTTGGAAATGTTTTGAAATTCATGAGTACCGGAACAGGAAGCTAGACCGGGTTTTCAAACCCGTATGTTTTATTCCTTCGTTATTTTGTTGATCTTGGAGGGATCGTGCAGAGCCACGGAAGATTGTCGCGTGTTCCCGTGTAATTAATAGCGCATGTTGCAATTTGCAAACTATATGAATATTAATCTGGATACGTCGCGTTATCGTTCAACATATTTTCCAGGCAACTTAAGAAAAGGAATGTTTATCGTGAAATTTATTATGAAAATCCCTAGCTTAACTCTCGTTCCTCCTACGAATAAAGAAATTATTCCAATTCCTCAGGAGTCGTTCTCATGGAAAACGAATATATTCTCCCTTGAATCTGAATTTTCTCTTCGGTGTAATTTACAAACGTACGAATGTAAAACTACTTCAAGCGACACTAACGTTCCAAGACGTACGAGGGTCATTCAGTTTAACATGGTTTATTTAAGGAATCTCATAATTTACCTGGTTCCCAACCTAATCCTCTGCCTCGATTATACACTTGTCCCATCGTTCTATTAGATTTTCTTATACCAGTAGCAACGAATTCTTTGTCTTGAAGTGTGAGACTGTTTTGCACATTTCTTTCCACTTCTTCCTTGCTGTCAAACTTGTTCCCACAAAACGGGTGTTAAATAATCTGAATTTCAAGGTGCATGTGGCAGAACCTTCTAGCCTGATCTTTTAATTTTGTTGTACTTATACTGAAATAGTTGTCGAACAGCTGTTTTAACCCTTTGCGGTCCGAATAGTCCAGTTAGTACGCACTCATTTGGCCACTGTCGGGCAATACCGTGTAATTTGCCTATATTTCAATATTTCAGCGTAATATTCATTTTAAAATATTAAGTTGCAGTATAATATTAAGGCATAAAAAATGGTTTACCATCGCTTATAATTTATAATTTATTATTGTACGACATCTGAAGACAGAAATTCCTATAGGATCGCAAAGGGTTAAATGGACGACAGTTTATTTTGATATTATATCTTCATTTGTTAATAAGTCTTAATATTTCTCCGAATTTCTGGTATCTATAGCTATAAAATATGCCGAATGTTAAAGGTTAACGAGGCAACAGATGCAACTTATGATTTTGAAAGTGTCGTACTTCTTATTTAGATATTTTTCGAACTATAACTCGTCGTCGTCTCTATTTACCGAATGACCCTCGTAGAACACGTTATCACAGATACGGGCAAACGCATCTTCTTCTCTTTCTCTCTCTCTCGAAGGAGAGCAGAGCCAGTGCGCGAGTGGGCACTTCGCGCAGCCGCAGTAATTACGCGGAAACCAAGGAAAAACAAATGGACGGTGATAATTATGAAATATCGTTTGCCGGAAGAAACTCTTCGCGCGCGCGTGGCGAAAAAAAAGCTTCTTTCTCTCTGCTGCATTTCTCCCCGACCCTATAGTTTCCTCTTCAGCCAGCAGTTTTTTGCCCCGCGTAAACGCTGCGCGCCCGTGTGTCTCGCTTTTTCCCCAGCTGGAAAGTTTCCGGTAGCGAAGTAGCACGGCGTTTTGTCCACGACGAAAGTTCTCGTGGAAATTTATGGGGCCGGTGGCGGGACCTCGTGGAAATTTTCACTTTTCATCGGGCCGCGGACTAACACGCCAAACCAAATGTCTACCACGACGGCCGGCTGACGAAAGTTAGTCGCCCGCGAAACTGCGCGCCGGAAACGTTCAACGTCCATCGTTGGAATTGTGCGTGATCGCGCCTTTAACTCGCCCCGCCATCCCCCAACGCCTCGTTCAGGAGCTTGAATTCCTATTCTAATCTTGTCGGACGCGGCACAATGGCTGAAAAATGTAACTTGTCCGGAATTTTTCTGGACGAAGATCCGACGAATGTCCGGGACATAAAGCAACATTCGTTCGTGCTATCTTGATGTAGCGAGGAAATTTCGAGGAGTATTGTCCCCGAAACGTGGAAAATTTCGATAGTTTATCCGTGAATAAATATTTCTCTTTCCAACCAGCTTAGTAGCGTACACTTTGTGCAGTAAATGTATTTATGCAGTGAATGTTAATCTTTGAAATAGGAGAATTTATATTCCATGATCTTGATCTATCTTTTTGCTAATTGTAGAATTTTTATCAGGAGACAAAAAATTTTTCTGACGTGCTGTATATTATATCTGTCTCATTTGAATAGTATATTAAAAAATATCATCGATGAAGAAAAAAAGGATGATCGATAACTCTCGTATCATGGAACGTGTTAAATAAACTAAACGTAAAACGTAAACTACACAAGAATACAAAACCAACCCTGATATCGTTTATATGTTTCACGCCCAGAATTGATAAATCATAAACGAAGTGACCGGAATAAAATAACGCGGTGATTCAGAATAAACACTTGCGCGACGTAACCGCGTAAGTTTATCGAAACTCGACTTCATCGCGGCAGATTGTTTGTCATTAATTGTCCGCGCGGTGAAATCACTTTTCCAAGGCACAAAGGGGCCGGCCGAAGGAACTCCCCGGCGGGGCTTTCCACTAAACCGTTCGTAATTTCTGTTTCATGCCGCGTTTGCAAATAAATCCTGAAGTACCGCGGAAGGAACGGCGGTAACTTTGTCAACTTTGATTAAGGGCCTGGCTGGCCGCGCTGTTTCAAAGGACGGGGATACATTTTCCAGGGAAAGGTACAAGGGACGTTGCAAACAGGACAACACGGTCCAAATCTACGTATCCGTACCGGGGAGTTTGCAACGACGTCGACATGCATCACAGCAAGTTGCCGGGATGGTCATCAGAAGTTGAAGAGTGTTCGTCGTGTGCATTACAAATTAGTGTCTTTGAACAACTCCACGGCACTGTCACAGATTGCTCATCCGCCCGCTAGCACAAACACACTCGGTCTTGAATTCTAGATATCATCACGCCAATTTTCATTTAGTACTTCCGACTCGCTGCCACTTTTAGCGCGTCAGTTTCGGTTTAATCGCTTTATTCTTGCCTCCTTTCATACCCCGTCGTTCTTGTTAGGACACGCGGAGAGTTCTGCGTATCTTGTTCTCGTTGGAAATTGGAAATTCTAGTCACTTCGAACGCCATCGAGTAACTCGTATTTAACGTTTCAACGTAAATTTATCTGAATTGTAGCACATTTCTTTCTACGCACCGTGAGTTTTTTTTTCTCGTATCAGAGATATTTGTCAATGTTATCTTTATTCGATGATCAAACGGTGTCAAACGAGTGTAATTCGAGGGAACGAAGAAGAGAGGAAGAAATTCACAGTGATGTAAAGAGAAGGCACGAAAGAGCGTTGGTGTTACGCTCTAAGAATTCAATTTACACGTGTTTACCGCGTGAGACAAGAGCGTATCTCTCTCCGGTTGCTGCATTCCATCGATGTCGATGCTGTAGCGTGATGATAATAACAATGATAATAGAGCAGCGTGGATGTTTGTTCAGCCGATAATACAGAAACAATTTCAAGGATAACAAAGGAACGGAATTACATCGTTCAACGGTTGATGGAAGCCGAGATGAGAATAAAGCGGGGAGAAGAGTAAATCCCCGCGTCGCTGAAGCGTCCATGATGTGTAAATTGTTAAATCGCTTAAATGGAAAGCTGAGGAAAAATTCACTTGTGTTGCAGTTTCATCGAGTTCAGTTTTACTAATGCCAACGTTCATTCGTTTTACTCCTTTCACACGCTTCCACTTCTTTCTATTTTGTTTTTACGTCACTCTGTTATGTCACTTCCTTTGTAATCTTAATACGATTCCTCCGTTTGGCGAATTAGTTACACGATTGAGCTTCTTTCTATTTATTTACAATAGTCCGTTCGCAGGACACAAGCTTATGACACAGACCACGAAAACCAGCAATTTTTAAGGAACACGGGGTTAAGCCTGAAACTTTAAGGGTTTGTTAAGTAGTTAGATGTCCCGGTGCAGAGTCGGGAGTCTAGAATTGCCTTGTGGACAAAGAAGTCTCCACTCCTGCTGACTCCACAAAATCGCCACTGTGCGACGCTTCTAGCGTCTTCGTTTCCTCGCTTTCAATAGCTCAATCGACGTGTCGTAAACTTCGCACTTAGCCGACACCACTCTGACCAAAATTTGACTCCGACCTCTCGGAGATATGTCACATGCAGTAAGATGAGCGAGAAAATCTCAAGATGCTTAAAGATAACTCTCTGTGTTCTTTGTGTTGCTGATTCGTGAGCACAACGATCGTCCACCTACAACTTAGACGTAAATAAGGAAGCAGAGAAGCGTCGAAGAGATTCGATGCCCCTTCTTCGTAACGTTTGTTCACACAATTTTTGAAATCTCGTTCATTATCCCCAATTTCCTGTCCAAGGTTCATTCAAGCAGATACCGATTAAGAATCTATCCAAAAGTGATCAAGAAAATAGGTGAGATATATGAATCGTTCAATTCGTGACCATGCCCACGTTAAAGTCAAGTTATTCCGCAACCGTTGCACTTAGAAGTTCAACGACAGGTCGCGCAAGTGCCAGCCAAACGATCGCTATGATCCATCAAGTGCGACATGTTTCCAAAGAACCTGCCCAGATTATTTCGATCCCATTCTAGCCGTCTGAAATGAACGTTTTTTAACATCATCATTCGCATCCACTTGCCTAAGCGTATTCCATGAAAAAGGCAAAGTCTAGCGGCGGCATTAAGCTCAGGAGTGAGCGATTTTCTTGCAAGTCGCCGGACGAGCAAATAAAAAGAAACGGGGTGGAGGGTCGAGTTAACGTCCCAGAATTACGTGTAACATTTCATTTTTGCGAAATGATAAATTGTCGCATACATATTGCGTCGGAATGACATAACATTCTGACACGTGAACGTGATAAAAGAACAAGGCAAGCTGGTCGAGCACGCAGCCGCGCGAGCACGTAACGACTAATGCAGCTTCGACCGCGTGAGATGAGGTATAAGCTAGCTTTCACAGACTAGCTTCCGATAAACGAGTTCTCTTCTGCTCTGTTTATCGTCTCTTTCGTTTTCCTCTATCGCATGAAAAGCCATCGTTTCGCCCGGGGAACGACAACTTTGAAATCCGTGACGATCTTTTCAGTTATCGCGGAAAGTGGATGCATTCACGACTTTAACGCGAACAGCCCGTGTAATTTCTGATCTCAGCAGCCACGGGCGACATTAACGGCGCCGGTTTACGGTCTAAGCGACGCCGACGACGACGACGACGACGATGCGGAATCGACGCCGCGTTTCCCTCGGCAAATTATCCCCGCAATCGGACCAACTATCGGCTACCAACTACATAATCACCGCACGGAATTGCTTAACGATCGTTTAATATAATGTTTGCCGCGTTTCGCTGAACGCAGCGCTATTTTATGGTCCATTCTCCTTTGAATCGGACGAAATTGTCTCGCTGTTATACCCAACGTCGCTCCTGGATCGTTACGTGCCGCTGTCATACACCTGCCGGGTGGCTCGTTAACGAAACATTCGATTCACTTAGAATCCCCGAGTTCGTTACAACATTAATCCTTGTATTCTGCGCCGCGTCG